AAAAAATTTCATTATAGTCAATTCCCTCCCTTTGGTTAAACCCCTTAGCAACCAACCTGACCTTGAATCTAATACTTCCATCCTTAGGGTCACCTTCTTTGATCTTGTAGATCCATTTACAGTCAATAACTTTTACCTATTTTGGTTTATTGACTAAAACTCAAGTCTTATTCTTTTCCAAGGACAACATCTCATCCTTTTTGGCTTCAAGCCACATGTTAGCATTTTTTTCTTCAACAGCCTCTTCATAAGAGGTAGACTCACCTTGCAAGAAACTTTGAATGTTAAGAGTAGTGATAAAATTAGGTTCATTGTATCTTACAGGTGGCCTAATTTCCCTTTGGGTTCTATCTCTAGCCAAATGATAGTCTTCTAAACGATTTAGGTGATGATCAGGTTCAGTTTCAAGGTCAGGTTGATGCAGCCTCCTGTTCAGGTTCATGCTCCACCTCAAACTGATATTCATTTCCAGTGTTGAATCAGCTGGAAGAAATTTCGTTTGAATAATGTTTATTTTTTGATCAGTTTCAGTTGGAGCAACCTCTTTTCCTTTAATGCAAGGCATGTCTAACTCATTAAAGACAATATTTCTACTTATAGTGACTCTATAACCTCCTCGATCCCTCAGCCAAACCCTATAGCCTTTGACTCCTTCACCATACCCCAAGAAAACATATTTTATGGACCTTGGCTCCAGTTTCTCTTCATTTTGATGTACATAGGCAGCACAACCAAAGATTTTAAGTTTAGAATAATAGCAGGCTGACCATTCCAAACCTGGTCAGGAGTGTCATAATTCAGGGATTTTGTAGGACATTTATTGATAAGATATGATGCAGTTTTGACAGCTTCTCCCCAGAATAGTTTTGGAAGACCTGAGCTAATTAACATGCACCTAACTCTCTCTAAAAGAGCCATATTCATCCTTTTAGCAAGACCATTCTATTGAGGGGTATACGTGACAGTCCTATATCTAAGGATCCCATTGTCTTTACAAAAATTGTCAAACTCCTCATTGCAAAATTCAAGGCCATTATCAGTTCCAAGAGCTTTAACCTTCTTGTTTACTTGATTTTCAACAAGAGTTTTCCAATCAACGAAGTTTTGAAAAGTATCAGATTTATTTTTCAAAAGCGTGACCCAACTTTTCCTAGACAAATCATCAAAATCAGAAAATAGTATTTAAAACCAGAATAGATATTCACAGAAGCTGGTCCCCAAAGATCAGCATGAAGATAATCAAGTATGCATTTAGACTTATGAGTGCCTNATTTTTCAACTTGAAGAAGTTTTGCAAAATTATTTTGAAGCATCAAAGTACCTCTATTAATTGTTTTGTTAAAACCTTCATCATCAAGTGTACCTAAAGAGATTAAATTTCTCTTTAAGCTGGGAATGTATCTGGTTTTGTTCAGAACCAGTTCATTCCCATTGTTAAGTTTCAAAACAATCTTAGCAATTCCTTTAATTTTGCAAGAAAAATCATTTTCCATTATTACTTGTCCTCCATTTGTGTCTAAGAATTCAGTAAAGTACTTCTTATATAGGGTCATATGAAAAGTACACATTGAATCTAAGATCCATTCATCTTCAAACGATGATTGACATGTCACATAGACTTGTCCATTTGTGGCTGCAGCTTCTTCATAAGCTATTGCAGCTCCACCCTCAATTTTATTATAGTTTTTTAGTTCATCCATTCTCTTGATATAATCTTTTATATAGCCCCCGTTTGGTGCACATTTTTAGAAAAAGAATGAATTTTTACTATTGATGTGATGGGGAATATGTGGTTGAAAAAGAAGGAAAAATTATTGATGTGATGGAAAATATTATTTTATTAAAAAATGTGTGGTTGAGAATGAGTAGAAAAATGAGAATGAAAACATTAATGTGGGTCAAACAAGGTGATAATGACCCATTTTACCACAGAATTAACATCTTTTTCCTTTATCCTTACTATCAAACATATTAAATTTAGATTTGCATTTTGAAAAGTTTCCAGTATGCTCTTTTGATTTCCAAGATTTTTTTTTTTTTTGAAAATTGATTATTGTTCTTCTTGTGAAAATTGATTATTGTTTTTCTTGAAGGAATAATTACCTTTTATGTTGTAACCGACTCCAGTATTGGAGGTTTTTGATTCACTTTTGAGCTCAAGTTCTTCATTCAGTAAAGAAGACACAACATCATCAACTGTAATAGATGTTCTTCCATATTCAAGAGAATTTTTAAGTTCCTTATACTTATCAGGTAAAGATGATAGTAAGGCTACAGATTTCTAATTATCAGATAGAGTCTCACCACTATTTGTGAGATCTTAGGTCAGTTTATTAAATCTGTCGAGATTTGTTTTAAGATCACAATTGGAGTCAAACTTAAAACTGTTTCCACAAGTAACATTTTTTGGGAAGAGTTTTGGTTTTGTATAATGATTCAAGTTTAGTCCAAATTTTAGCCGCAGTAGTAGTGTCACCTACTTCTCTAATCACATTGTCTGACAAATGCAGGAATACGGTACTCCAAGCAATTTTAGCATGTTCAGTCCTTTTGGTTTGAGTGGTTTCAACATCCCAAGATTCATTTAAGGCTTTAGCACATTTTTGTTGCAATAACAGTGCCTTCATGTTTTTACTCCAGATACTGAAGTCTCCATTAACATTCCAAATCTCAATGTCAATCTTTGAACTTGACATATTATTTACAAAGTGATGCAAACAATAGTAACAAATATCAAGAAAGTATATATTCACAACAAGGCAGACACCAAGTGTTAAAGTACAGATAATCTTCATGCAGAAAGCACTTATGCATGTGAACAGAGTAAGCAAGTTGTCTCAAATAACAAATCACAGTGTTTAATATTTCGAATAACAGAAGTAAATGATAATCTTGAAGAAACCGTTAAACCTTGTCCCCTCAGATTCTAGGGTTCTCACATAAAACCCTAGATAAAGGAAGATCAAAGTGGGTTTCAACCAAGAAGGCTCAGATAACTAATGAGTTCGAAAAATAACAACTAAAATAGGGTTTAAAATTTTGTTGCCAGACGTGTCTCAGTGCAATAGTATAAAATAGTGAAAATCAGACTATTTTAATATACTAGAATCAAAGTAAGTTTATCAAAATACAAGAATAAGAGACCCAAGAATGTCTCGATTCAAACCCTCGACTCAAACTCTCCTATTTCCCTTTTTACAGATTACTCCAAGTAATCAGACTTCAGCTCACCAAGAACAGAAGAAAAAAACAAGCTAGAAACTGTAATATACACTAGATATCACCAAGATCATCTACCCTAACAGATTACAGACTGAAACCCTTTTCAGTAGAGACAAAATACAGAACAATGTCGAAAGAGAGAAAACCCTAGAAGAGATAATGAATTGTCGAGTCAAATGGAAGATTATGGAGACTTATACACTCATCATGTATCCAACGACTGTGCCAGCACCACGTGTCACAATCTCAACCAACATTTTCAACAACCAAAATCGTGTTTCATCATAGTGCGAGAGTGAACAGTAATGGGCTACCCGGGTCACATTCATTTAAGAACAATTGGGCTGAGCACAATAAAAATGTTAAGCATACTTCAACATATTATATTCATAGCGCTTGGCTGTCTTGAGTGTCGAATGACCTCCGCAGACAACCCGGTGCCGCCGTAGAAAATCAATCTCAGGAACAACAATATTCGAAGGTTCTCGCACATTTTAGCTATTGGAGATTTTTTATATCAACACAATTCAATTGAGTGATGCCTCTGCATAAGGCTGTGATCCTTTGAAGCATATATAACATCCTTGATCCCAAAAAGCCAAATAGGACCTGACAATAAAATCGACAAGATTTTAAGTTATCTTTTCTTCCTTAGTGTTTTTCAGTATTATTCAATCAACTTTGCTACACGTGCCACCAAAGTTCCTTTCCAAGATAGACCTCCCTAAGGAAAAATTCTCTACTGAACGTTAATTTCCAAATGCATCATGTCATGGAGGTGGGGGAATTTTCGACTTCAATCCAGCTTAACCCAGCTACTTTCCTCATCTTTCTCTTCTTCATCAGCTCTCTGATGCTACCAACATCTTCCCAACTTCCATGACGCGCGTAAATATTAGACATCATTACATAGACAAACTCCTGATCCCGTTCCAATTCTATCACCTTCGTCGCTGCCTTCTCAGCCAATTCTATGTTCCCACAAGAAACACATGCCCCAAGCAATGCCCTCCAAACCAATCCGCAAGATTCAAATCCCAGTTCATTTATCATCTTGTCCGCCTTGTATACTTCACCTTCTTGTCCCATGAGCCTGATCATGCAAGAACAATGCTCGGGTGTTGGGTCAATCCTATGATCTTTGATCATAGATTCGAAGTATTGGTTCGCAATGCTGAAGGGAATCCTACTGTGGCAACAGGCTGATAAAACATTGAGAAACGTAATTTCATCTGGTTGTAAATCCTTTATAGTTTTCAACTGCTCAAATAACTGAATCACCTTGTCGGAATCACCATTGTGAGCATATCCAGAGATCATGGTGTTCCAAGTAATTAAATTCTTTCCACACATAGAATGAAAAAATTCTTCGGCTTCCTTTACTTGCCCACACTTGAAGTACATGTCGATGAGAGCACTTCCAACAACAACATTTTCCTTTAAACCACACTTCACTGCACAACAATGTATCAAACAACCCCATGTAATTGCCGACACACTGGCAATGCCACTCAAAAGACTTGAAAATGTGAACTCATCCATTTTAACTCCTCTCAAGTGCATTTTGTTGAATAATTCAACAGCTTCTCGGGCTCTACCTCTGTTCACATACCCAGTTATTATCGAATTCCATGAAGATGAATTAGGATTTGGCATTCTTGATAAAATTCCAATTCCATCTTCTATGTTTCCAAACTGTGCAATGCCACTGATAAGCTCATTGTATGAGATTGTATCGGGGTTGGGCATTTGGCTAAAAATGCTAAATGATCGTTCAAGCTTCCCATTTCTTGCATTTGCGGCAAGAATGGAATTCCAAGAGATAGTGTCCTTATCAGCCATATCATCAAAAATCCATATTGCATCTGCAGGGAAACCACATTTTCCATACACATCAATCAAGCAATTGGAAACAACAATAACACATTCAACGCCAAGTTTCACAATCTTAGAATGTAATGATTTTCCGAACTGCACTAAACGCAGCTGCCCACAAGCTGATAAAGCGGCGGTGAGCGAGTAAGAATCTGCTAAAACACCAGATTTTTCCATCTGAACAAACAAATTCAACGCTTTTCTGAACTTACCAGAACGAACAAATCCAGAAATCAAAGAATTCCAGGAAACCACACTTGGTTGAGGAATTTGAACAAACAATTTTTGGGCATCATTTAATTCCTGAAACATCACATAAAAATTTATCAAAGCTGTTGACACAAAGACATTTGAATCAAACCCAGCTGTCAGAATGTGAGAATGTAGCTGTTGGCCATGTGAAACTCGACCAGTAGTCGTACAAGCACGAATCAAATGAACAAGAGTATAGGCATTAGGCTTGGAACCAGAATTGTACAACAGAGAAGCTCTTTTTAATACCGTTTCTGGATTCATAACACCTTGAGCCAGGCCTGAAATGAGATTTGTCCATGTTACGAAATCTCTTCCTGGAATTAATCGAAAATTTCTGTCGACGTGTTTTAATAAACTGTGATAACATTGGTATTTTTGGATCACAAGGGGTACGTTGATTCTAAGAATTGATGAACAGTTTGAGCATAGCTTTGCCAACATGAATTTATGACACTAGTATTGCACAAATTGTGTTGCATTAGTAGTGTGTGGGGGCATAATTCAAAAATTTAGCCGAACTAGGTAAATATTGTTTTTTTGCTTTAATTTTTTTTGTTATTTTTACACTATTGGATAATCAACTGTAAGAGAAGTTTCATTTCGGTAACCTACCTAACTTTAATTTATTCAAATAGAATCTCTTAACTGTTACTTTTGTACTTTAAGGTGTTTATGTTAAGGTTTTTTTGTTAATCCTGCAGTTGATGGTGGGGTCTAAAAATGTGGTAGAAGATTATGCAATTAAACCTTCTTACTGTTTGTGAAGATTGGAGTAACCTTCTTACGCTTCTGTCTGATATGCTTCTCGTGCTTCCCTATAGTGGATCTGCTGGACTTGTTTTCCTAGCGGCTTCCTGCCTGACGGTACTCATGTGTCCTTGATCCTTATAGATCCGTACATGAAGTATGCATATAAGAGTAGAAATTGGAAGATATGACTAAAACATGAAAGTTTTATTCAAAGAAGGTTTAAGAGAAAAAAACTCTCTTAAACTTTATTAAATTTGCGAGTACCAGATCCAGTATGGATCCTTTTTTTTTTTAATCCTGCAGTTGATGGTGGGGTCTAAGAATGTGGTAGATGTTCAGGTGGTTTGATGATGTTGGATTTGAGTGGTGGTGGTTCTCATGGGAATCAGGGGCATATCCAAGAAGTCGAGTGAGGTAGGGCGATTTGTTGATCGTCGACAGTCGCAATAGTGAGATTATTTATTAATATATAATTAAATAGTATTAAAAAAAAATTCAATCAATATAAACGTAAAAGTCATACACATGAAAATATAGTTCAATATAATAAAAAAAAAATATTTTTTGAATCATATACGTATGATCAAGTTTCAAGTTTTTACGAACTTAAGCGAGACAAGATAAAGAGCATACGTAAATCATAATTAATTGGTAAATATAAGTTTCGAACTTAGGCAAAGCTTATGCAAAGCTTTATAAGAATGATTTTTAGAACTATTTAAAAAAAAAATAAAAAAATGTTTTTCGAACTCTTAAAAGAATAAAGGACACTACTTTGATTGTTCAAATTTAAATTTAACCGAGTAAATTGATAAAACATAACATTAATCATACCTGACCCGATCGTTAATTGGATAAATTATCGGGTCTGCGATTCAACCACTGAGTGATCACGAGGTCGAATTTTAGTTAATAATAATAATTTTTAAAGCAAAAAGTCTATTACTTTGATAAAACCGAATATATAGTTTCTTGTCAAATTTATTGTTAACAGCTTTTAATTGCCAGTGGTCAAGCTTTCCATTATGGATTCGAATCTTATTTATTGCAAATGACATATAAAATTTGCTTTAAGCCAATTTTGTAGCTAAAATTTTAAAACAAGGATTGGAGATTCCCGGAATCAAACCCTATGCCTTTCGTATACAAAGTTAGCACTCTAGCATATGAGCTACACAACCATTTGTTTAACTTTGATACATTTATAAATATTTAACGACATTTGTCAAAACTCTATAATATTTTTTTCCGGCGGATGTGACATTGGAGCCGCGCGAGTCCGTAGGATGCTGGACTCGTCCCTAATGGGAATGAGTGATGGTTGGGATCTTGGTTTGGCTTGGGGGTTGGGTCGAATGGGGAAGATGAAAATTTTAAATTTTTTATTTATCTTCTTTTTAATTTTATTTTTCTACATTTTAATCCTTCGTTAAATAGATCAAATTAAGGTCACGCGATTGACTTTTGTTCAAATGACAGATTTTTGAAAGGAAATCATTAGAGGTCTTTTCGTCGCACATTTATTGATAAGTTCTGGACCTATCTGCTACAATTTATAGGTTTGGGATCTAGCTGATATGACTTAAAGGTTTAGGATCGCACTGCACAATTTTTAAAGGTTTGAGACTTTCGTTTGCAAATTACCTAAAATGGAGTCTCTATTAACACAATTCATATTAGTATATTGGCAGGATATTAAAATCAATGCATAAATAAATTGATGACAATATGTCTATTCTATAAAAGGAAAATGTCCCTTTTTTCTTCTTTTGTTCTTCGTGTATTTTATTTATTCATATAATTAATGCATATTCTCCTATGAAGAAATCACATTATCTAAATCAATACATTGCAAAAGAAATATGATCATAAATGATATTTGACGAAAATCCAATATTAATGTTACAAGTTTACGTTAAGAAATTGGTCACAGTTGAGTCCATTCTTAATATATATCTGTAGTTGAAGCAATCCCCACCTGCAACCAACTAGAAGACTCTCCATCCAAATTCGTCTCTCTTAAATCTTTAAGCTTAATTTCACTTGTGTTTTCACTGTTCCGACCATCGGGGATCGTAACTGGATTCGTGCCTTGGATTTTATGTTGGTTTTGATTCGTAATACTATCGAAAACTTTTCCTTCACCCCATTGTTCTAGATACAATCTTGTTGAATCTTCATATTTACTAATTGTGTCATCAGCAGTAATATTCTCACGAGATGGCAAGTTGAGATCAAGTTGGGCTGGAATGGAGGCTGGGGCGATGGCGAGTTTCTCGTAGAGTTGTTGGCTATTATCATATTGAAATTCATGGAATTTGGGTATGAAAGCATTGTCTACTGAAGTTGAGGTAAGCCAATGACACCTCTTGTGCCCTCCTAAGGCTTGTCCGGAAGAAAATACCCTACGACATACTGAACATTCATGTACCTTAGATCTCTTCTTCGAGTAAGAATCACGAAATTCTGGTGTGGCCAATACCTCGTCATCTTCCATATCAGCAATCGAATCTTGTTCAATAATATTACTATTGGGGTTGTCCATTAATTTCGCAGCAAAACAACCTTTCACCTTCTTGTGACTCGCTCTGTGTCCCCCTAATGCCTGGTGGGAATTGAAGATTTTCTTACAAGATTTGCATTGGAACATACCTTTTATCTCCACTTGTTTAGCCATTATTACTTCCTTCTTATTAGACAATGCACAAGATTTGTTAGACAACATGACCAAGCAATTAGCAAGATCTTCTTCTTCACTTGAAACCGAATAACGATCATGATCATCATAGTTATTGTCCATCTTGATCAATGCCATCGACTTATTCTTGTGTTTCTCTTCTTCACTTACTTGATAATCCACATAACGACTCGTTTTGGCTTTGTAATTGCCTTCAGACAGTTTATTCCTGGAGTTCTTTTCTTCAACATTATTAATATCTCCAATAACATGGGCTCTCATGTGTCCTCCTAGAGCTCCACCACACCTAAATCCCTTATTGCATACCTTACAAAAGTTTCCCTCACTCTCTTGCTTCTCCTCTTCACCCCCATTAACATTTCCTACCATTTCCATCTAACTATCAATACCTACCTTCTCTTTCAGATAGTTACACCTTTTGTGTGAACAATAAGAGATGGGGTGGGTAGGGAGTGGTTATATATAGTTGGGGTAAAGTAGTGAGTAATTTTGGGGTAGTAAAATTTGTGAATAGGGTGGGAGTGAGAGTGGGGGGAAATCCTAGTTTTTAGTTGAATTTAGTTGCTTGTGGATGAGAGGGATAGACTGAGACAGAAGAGAATTAGTTAAAGAGCAAGGGAGGAGAGTGAAAGTTTAGTGTGTGACATGTGGAAGGCAAGTTTAAGTGGTGGAGAGATTATTTGTAAGCATTGTGGTAGCATCAATTACAACATCATGTTAATTTGACTTCTTCAAACAGTACTTACAATTATATCTTCCTCTCATAACATAAAATTGGTGGACTAAGGAACACCAATAAACATGTATGACAAAAAGGCTTTTCCTACTTGAATATCTTATCTCGATTTTGTTGACATGTTTCACAAAGTTGAATCATTCATTACTCATAACTTCATATTGGAAATCTAAACATGACATTACAACGAGAGGGGAGATGGGAAAATGCAGGGAGAGAACGGGCGATGGAGTATGGTAGACGTTGAGGAAGATATGATATAAAGATAAGGAGTATTTTCGAATTATCAAGTCATTCTTAAGAAAATAATAAAATATGTTATAGTTAGTGTATTGACATGTCCAAAAAGGATTATTCAATATAAAATAATGCAGGCAATTTTGTTGGCTTTTAATAGTATATATGAAATATATTAAGGAAAAAAAAATATTTTGTTGGCATTTGATAGTATATTTGAAATATATAAAGAAAAACATGTGATAGGAATTTGAGTATGGCAAAGCAAAGTAACTTTAGTTTGAAGTATTTTTTTTTCCTCCAAACAAGTTAAGAGTTTTTTTTTTTTAAATTTTTTAAACAATATCATCTTACAGTATTGGAGACAACCCGTCGTGTTTCAAAAATATCATTAACATTCCCTATTCTTCAATTTTAAATATCATATACGAGTTTAGTTACAAGCCCATAGATAGGATGGATGTTCATTCGATTCACGCTTGAGATCAGTTTCTTTTTCGAAGCTTTTTTTTGGCATTTGTATGGGTGATTTTGCCACAATTGACCCCTTGTTTGAGTAGTTTAGTGTTTAATCCAGTTCCTTACGAGTGTTCTCCTCCAGCCAGTCTGAAGTCAAAAGCCATCAGGGAAGGGAAATCATAGACTCAGACGAGGAACTCACACTTGGTGGTGAAGTAGTCGTCAAAATCATGGGAATAAAACTAATTAATGATTAAGTACATATTGTAAATACTTCAACTATCCTCGAACAATGGGAATGTCGATTCAACTCGAAAAACTTGAATCTTGCGGGGGTGGCAATGAGATTTTGGGATAGGATTTTGCTGTCTTCGGACAAAACAGGGCATCTCCGCATGTCATAATTTTCTTGATCTTTAAAAAAATACAAATTTATTTAAAATCTCCTTAACCCAACTTCTTTATGCCCAAACTCAAACCAATTATCCAATCTCATTATCCTACCCCATGCCGTGTCCAACTCTTCTTTAAGAGGGGAACGAGGCTAAGACGCGACGTCTCGTCCGACCCTGTTGCCATCCTTATTGAACAGTATAAAAAACTTAGTAAACGTTAACATCTTAGTAAACCTACTATCAAAAACTGTTTCACTAATTAGTAAACGTTAGCATATATTTTATGAAATATAACAATGCATATATTTCTTCATTATTTGATAGGGATAGCAAAATTCTTCGTCTAGCTCGCACTACATTCTTGAATGGTAAAAAGGAGAGACTTGAGACCATGGCCCCTCCCCCGAATTCCTCGAATGTGCTCGAATCTTTTCATTTCATATTTATTTTACAATTTAAATTGTATTTAAAAAATTAAAAATAATTAATTAATTAAGCGAAAAGGCAAATGGATATATTTAATCCATGTCTAGACACGCCTCTTGAAAATCCCGAAAGGGTCAAGGATGGATATGATTGTCCCGCCTCATTGCCATATTCACCGTGAGATTATATGTTGATTTAAGTGAAAAATTCAATTGTAGGGCGTGTTTGATGAATATTATTGAAGAAAAAATGTATTTTAATTAATGACATGATGAGAAATATGAAGTTAAAAAGTAAGGAAAAGTTATTGATGTGATGAAAAATATTATTTTTATTGAAAAATGTGTGGTTGTAAATGAATTTGAAAGAATTTATTTTGAGAGAATGTGTGTCGAACATGGACGTAGTGTTGTAGAAAATATTTCAGAAAGCGAGTCCCTTAGTCTCAATAACAATTTAGGTATTAAGAATTTATGCTCAACCATTAATTACTTTTAAAGATGACCAGGGATGAATATGATACTTAAAATTAAAAATGAAGGAGTTAAGTAATAGTTTTGATACGTGAGGAGGTGTAGAGATATTTTCACTTTTTCTTCTCCCCCTAAATTCTCTCTCATTTTAAAATTTTAGTGCAAAAGTTGGCTATTTACCCCTATTTGAGCCTCATTTTTGCAAGAAAATGTATTTTTAAAAAATGTTTGGTAAAAAAATAAGAAAATTTTTCGATTTTTGTGTAAAATTAATTTTTTTAGAGAATGTGTAGTTAAAAATGAGTTTTCAAAAAATGAGAATGTGTTTGGCTTGCTGTTTTCAAATTGTTTTCAATTTTGAAAAATAGTGAAAACGTGTTTGGCGTGGTATTTTTAAAAATTTATTTTCAAAAAACAAAGATAAATTTATAACATAAACTCAAAACATATTTTTGATGTTTTGAGTGTTTTTAATAAAAATTTTGAAAATACTCAGTACGCATTTTAAACAATATTTTAAAAAATAAAAATATAAAATTCTAACAAAAAAATTTTTCAAAATTGAAAACAATTTTTTCAAGTACTCCTTATTCTCTTTTTCGCGTTCTGAGTATTCTGATTGGGATTATTTTTCTTTGTCTCTTTTTTGTCTCTGTTTCTTTTGCACTTCTTCTTTGTGGAATCGATGGCTTCATTGTTTGGGATTTTCAGAATTCCCGGCATTGTTGTTGATGCGTATGAGTTCTAGAGAAAATTCCAAGAGCAGTATAATTGAAAGGAGGATGCAATCATGCAAAGGTATTTCGGGGTTTTGTGATGGGTTTTCTATTGAACCTTTTTGAAGCATGAGGAAGCTTGCAATGGGCCGAGCCGGCCCATTAAACATTTTACTTGATTTATTCGCCCAATTAATTAGTTTGATTGCGAGCTTATTTGTATAAAAAATATTAATTAAATATATTTGATTGATTCAATTTTTAATCTAAAATATATTGTACTTGTCAATTTTTTATTGATGGATAAATGAGAGAAAATGAATAGATGAAAGAGAAAGAAAGAAAGAGTGAATTACCTGTAAAATAAAAATTACAATATCCTAAAGAAAATATTTTCCTCGTTCTTTGGTCTTGTGACTGGGGTAATTTCTATTTTTCAAGTAATTCACTCTCCCTTTCTTTCTCCCATCTATTCCCCCACTCTCATCTATTAACCAATAAAAATAGACAAGTATAATTTTTTTAAATTGAAAACTAAATCAATTAAATACATTTGATTAATAATTTTCATACAAATAAATTTTGGGCAATTGAATTCCCTAAAATTTATTTTCTTTTACTACAAATTTCATGTTCGCAATCAAACGCACATTTAGTTCCAAAAAAGAAGTTTTATTTGTCAAACTATTGAATGTTTTTTATTCATCAAAGTTAAAAATTCTATTAACCAATAAAAATAGACAAGTATAATATTTTTTAAATTGAAAACTAAATCAATTAAATACATTTGATTAATAATTTTCATACAAATAAATTTTGGGCAATTGAATTCCCTAAAATTTAATTTCTTTTAATACAAATTTCATGTTCGCAATCAAACGCACATTTAGTTCCAAAAAAGAAGTTTTATTTGTCAAACTATTGAATATTTTTTATTCATCAAAGTTAAAAATAAGTATATAACTTGATTTTTCTAATAATAAAAGTAATTAGTTTTACTTTAAGCAAGCAAAAGTGCAATATCTAATGTTTCAGTGTATTATTAAAATCAACTTTAAAAAAGTTCTTCCACTATGCTGTCTGATACGAATTATGTCAAGGTAATGTGAAACCCTAAATTATGGAAACCCCAAATCTGGTGAAAAAACTGTCAAAAAATTGACAATAAATGGCATAAACAAACGCACAGAAATGCAAGAAGAATTCATACCCTTTGTACATGTTCATCGGTGGATCCTCTTGGATGACGATCTGTCCTTGTTGTGATGAGCTCTTTTTACTGTTTCTCAGTTCAAACCGAAGCGACTTAACAACCTCACCATGGCCAGTTTTAGCAAGTTGTTTTGCTTTCAATGGGATGATCGAGTGATCACCATTTTTGATCTCAAGTAATGGAGAAGCAAGATGAATACTGGTAGTGAGCACTGAATTTTTCTGAATGTGGTTCAGAAGAATTGGAAATCTAAATCTCGTGAGAATGAACGGATTTGAGGGTTATAGGGTAATTGAATCAAACATACATTTAGACGAGAAAATCGCTATTGTTGTCGAGTCATGGATGAATGAAGATGCCATAATTTCATAATTGGTATGATAACTCAAGTGGAGAGTCCAACGGCTCGCTCGGTTTGTGTTTTGGCTTTCAATTTTGAGTTCACTTTTAGTTTTTGGTTTGAGGTTCTATTTTAAAATTGTTAAAAATGCATTTGATTTGTCATTTTAATTTTTTTTCTTGAAACAGAAAATTAGAAAACCCATTTGGTTTGAAATTTTAAAAAATTATTTAATGATATTTTATTTCATTAAATTTGATTATTTAATAAAAATAGAACAATTTTATGTTGATATATTATCAAGTAATGTATACATTTTAAAAGTTGATGAAATTTACTACATTTTTTTTTCTCGCTATAAAAGTAAAATAAAA